TCAATATAAAATGATCCAAGTTGTTATTTTCCTTTACCTTGGTCCTTTCATATTAGAAATTTTTAAATGAGGCTTTTAAATCCCCTCTCTTGCAGCACTTCTCCACACAGGGTGCAGAAATGAAAACCACAGGCACCTGGTCCAACCACCTCCCACACTCTCCTCCTGGAGCCCAGCTTACCTATATGTTGGGTTGGCTCCAAGGTAAGAAGTCCAGTCCTGTAACTGGGAAACTATGTAATTGCTACCAGGGCCTTAACAACACCCATGGAAATTATACAGTGGGTCCTTATTTCTTTGGTTGCAGAAGACACCTGAGGACACAAATAGTCCCTATGAAATATCTTGGGCATCTCACTTCCTCTCAGGCCTCAGTTTTCTCACCTGTAGAATTGGAGAGTTAGTTTAATTAGATGTCCCTGCCAACTCTGGAGGAATGACCTCAGGACCTGGATGATGGGCATAAAATTGCTACTTGGAGAGAGCCCCTTTGAAATTCAGAGAAGTCCTTCCTTTTTTCAACACATAACCATTGGAGGCATCCTCACCTCACCTTTGTCTTAACCTTTTCTTAGAAAAGGAAGGTCAGAGAAGCAGGGTTAAATATGATCATTTGAAAATCTATACTCTCAAATGAATCTGGGTCTGCGAATTGTGAGTTGTGCCATTCCTCATTTAGCTTTAGACCCTTTTCCCACCCAACAACAACAACAAAATTGGAGGAAGGGAATGGAATGAGGGAGGGAGAAGGCAATGGAAAGAATGCTTAACTTAAAGAGTCATTAGCCCGAGTTCAAATCCCACCTGTCACTTCCTAGCTGAGTGACTTTGGACAAGTCACTTAACTTCTGTGGGCCTCAGTTTCCTCATATGTAAAATGAAGGAATTGGATTAGATGTCCTCTGTGGCCCATTCTAGTTCTAGATTTAAGATGCTGTGATGCTAAAAAAAAAAAAAAGGGAAGGGGGACTGGGGAGAGCAGGGATTATTCTTTGTTTAAGGGAATTTGAGACAATTGTAAAGCCTGTCTTTTGTGTTAGGACATTCCTCCTTAGTTTTTGCTGATTATATGCACTATTATTTTTCTGACGCAGTGTCACAAATTCTTGTAAGAATTTTTTGAGGTTTAGGTTTGACAAAAGGGCTGGCTTTCCTTCTTATCCTGCCCAAACTACTTATATTAGTGAAATTGCCTGAATAATAGTTTGCCTTAAAAAAAAAAAAAAGCTCCCATTGTGTTTTTAAATGTTGAAAAGCAACTACTGGAAATACAACATTTCTAAACATAAGCATATTCTGAGAAGGAGCAAAGGACCAGGAATCAGTGAATGGAATGTGGACTGAAGCCTGGCCAGCCACTAACAGGTTGTGAATGTAAATCATGCTGGCCTAAGGGTCCTTAGCTGTAAATGGTGAAAGGGAGAGTTTCGATGACATCTGCAGAGGGTCCTTTTTAGAGATAAAACTGAAATTCTATGCTGCACATAACCAAGCATGCTCAAGGGGGAGAGGGAGAGCTAGTTTGCTAGATAGGCATTGTTTTGGGGTTTGTTACTGCCTCTGGGCTTCCTCCCTAGGGACCACGTCCCTGACCACACCATCCCGCCTCCACCAAGCAACAGGCTCTGCAAAGGAAGCAAAGCTGCTTCACGGGGGATCAGAAAAAGCACTTCGTTTGGGAGTTCCATTCCCTGTGCTTTTCCTGCTCACCCCCTTTTCTCACATACAAAAAGGGGGGAATCAGCCTGATGCAGTGGAGAGTGGGCTGAATTTGAGACTCAGAGAACCTAGATGTGTCTCTTGACTGTGGGAACTTGGGCAAGTCATATAACTCCTCTGAGCCTCAATTTCCTCATCTGAAAATTGGAGAGGAGAGAATGTTCTTCATAGGGTGTATTTTGAAGATCAAATGAGATAAGAGATGTCAAGCCCTTTGCAAGTTTTTAAGGCATTCTGTAAATGTCAGCTATTACTATAATTGTCATAGTAAAGAATGGAGTGGACAGACCATTTGGAGCTTGGAGTCTGAATCACAGAATTTCAGGGTTAGCAGGGACCTCAAAGGCCATTTAGGCTAAATAACCCATGCCTACCAAAAATTCTCTACACCATCCCCAGTAAGTATTCAAGTAGCTTGTACTTAAAGGCCCAGAGGGATTGGTTGAAGGTACTCCAGTCCTTATACTGCCTCTGATACTTACTGGTTCATGATTTTACCTCTCTGACCTTATTTCCTTATCTATAAAATGGGGATAAAGAAACCTGAAGGACTTCACCTCAGGATTGTTTGTGAAGACCAAAATAATTATTTTAAATGCTTTATAAGCCAGGCAGTAGAACCTGGATTCGCAGCTAAACTCCCCACCCCACCTCCACTTGCTAGTTGTATGGTCCTATGCAAGTCTGTTAAACGCTCTTGGACTCAATTTCCTTGTCTGCAAAATGAAGGGGCTGGCCTCCGAGATATCTAAGGCCCCTTCTAGCTCTAAAGAAATCTGCTTTCATGAATCAGCCGTGGTCTGGGCATGTCCTCACAGGCAGAGTGGGGTGGCTATTTCAGGATGACTAAAGCCAAAATTCAATCAATCATCATTCATTAAGTGCCTATAGTGTAGCCGGCACTGTCCTAGGTGCTAGAAAGCGTTAGTAGCTGATACTACCGGTTAACTTATTTAAAGGTGATAGATAACAGAAAGACAGTATAAACGTGGGGCCTAAGCAGGTAAAAATGGAGGTTTAGGCAAATATTTGAGTAACTCAGGCCTTACTTACTTCCTGCCTTTTCTTCAATTTATCTAGGTTATTTAGAATCAACCCTGGATGGGAGGGGCTTAAGATGGTTACACAGAAACCCTGACGGAACAGATTAGGTTTATATGTGCAGGAAATACACTGGGAGAAGACAGAGCAAGTGGGAATTCCCCTTTCCCCACTTCTTTGGGTCTCCTGGAGCTCACAGCATCTCTGGCAGACAAGCAGCATGGAAATGCCTAGGCAATCAGATGGAAGGAAATCACTTTCAGGGGTTCTCCCTGGGACGGAAGGAGGGCAACCACGGAATTCCTCTAAGGAGGCCTAGGGAATGTGGCTTTCTCTTCCAGAAGGGCTAAGGGCGTGCTGGCACGGGGCCAGGAAAGGAGGAGGGGAGAGGAGAAGAGGTTTCCCAGGTCCTAGTTTCCCTTTAAGGTAATGGAAGTGGGGATGAGAGTGATCTCACAGGGGTCAACCAAACCAAAACCAAACCCTGAGAGGTGTGAGATGCACACAGCCCCCACCCCTCCGGGCCACCAATTATTCCTCACCTTCATGAAAAAAAAAAAACAAAAAAAAACAAAACAGCACCTGGCTCTCCGGGGGTTGGAAGAGGGAGGGAGGGGAGCCTCCCCTGAGCAACCGTGCCCCTAGAGGGGTGTGTGCCTCCTCCGATTCTGGGGAAGGAAGGGTTAAGCCCGGTGTTTCCCCGCCCAGGGGAGCCCAGCTCCAGGTTTCAGCTGGGGAACCCGAGCCCCGGCGGGGCCCCTGGTAGAGGGGGGCAGGTGGCAGACTAGGCGGGCAGCAGGCAGGAGGAGGAGGGGCGACTAAAGCTTTTCCTGCTGCAGCCTCGGCCACCGCCTGGTGCCATTCATGCCTTTATTCCAAGGTAGCCAGAGGTGGAGGAAGAAGAGGAAAAAGAGAAGGAGGAAGAGAAGGAAGAGGAGAAGACGACCCGGGCCGCGCCTTTTCCAATCTCAACCTGCAGCATCCTTCCCCAAGCTCCCGGTAGCAACCTGCAACTGGCGGCGGGCGCCAAAGTGGAGAGTCCCCAAAAAACCCCTCCCTCCCCCCAGTCTCGGAGATGCTGCTTGCCTGGCCGTTCACCCCCTCCCACACACACACACACACACACACACACACACACACACACACACACACACACACACACACTTCTCTTCTCGGCCACCCCACCTTTTGCCCTCCCGGTTCGGATCACTGCCTCCTCTAGCCCCTCTTTCCACTTCAGAATGCAGATCTGCATAAGCCCCAGCCCAAAACAGCAGACAAGCTGCCTTCTCCAGAAACATGCTCTTGCAGCCTAGAGGCTTTCTCTTTCCCTTCTCCCTGTCCTTTCACCCAGGTGCGATCCTCTTTAGGAGGGCTGCAGGGGGATGGCGGTGCGCTGTATCTAGCTGTAGCCCATTCTCTAGCCCACCACCCAGAGAGTTTCAGACCCTCCTCCCTCCCCGTGCCCCGCCCCGGGTGCTGGAGAACTTCCTACCCCCACCCAGCCTCATCCTCGTCCTAGAAGCTCGGAACTCCGCGTTTCCTTCTCCTTCTCCGCCTGCAGAGCCGGGCAAAGCACCTGGAGCACTGGGAGGGGACTGTGCCTGGAAACCCTGACGAGAACCGTGGGTGGGTGGGTGAGTGGGCAGGGGGATCGGGAGCCTACAAAACGAGCAGGCAAGGTGTACAGGGTGTGGAAGTGGGAGCTCTCCAAGAGGACTAGGGGTGTTTCAATATGTAAAACGCGATGATGTTTAGTCAATGAAAGGCAAGGCTTGTTTCCATGTATAATCACCCCATGCACTCACACCATCTCCACCTCTAACACCACAAGCATCATTCCCACCTCTCGTCCTATTCCTGCGGGGAGATTCTCCCCCCCTCCCCTTTAAACAGAAGGCATTATTGCCTCTATCCAAAGCATTTCTCTGGCTCCTTGGGGTCTAAAATTCGATTACTCTTAATTCCTTTATTCGTTGCTTCACAGTCCCCTTTCTCTAGCGATTTACACACACACACACACACACACACAGAGAGAGAGAGAGAGAGAGAGAGAGAGAGAGAGAGAGAGAGAGAGGGAGGCCCGCACACTTCTAACTCTACTCCCTTCCCCCCCTCCCCGCATATGAAGCGCCCTGGCACTGGTCAGCATCTTGACTTGGGCTGCCACTCAAGACTCACCCAAGCCCTCTTGCCCTCCGCCTAGCCCCAGCCTCTCCAAACCCAAAGCACTTACTTACCCCACCCCCCCTGATTTGTATTCTCGCAGTTGCCGGTGCACACACCAGCCCTGGTCCAGGCTCACAGACTCAGCGGGCCAGCCGCTACAACTTGGCTAACCAATAAATGTCGGGGAAGGGGGGAGGTTGGACTTCCCTTGGCCCAGCCCCCCCATGCCGGGTTCTGGCCGATCTCGGCCGAGGGGCTGCTTCCCAATCCCTGGCCGCCTCCTTCTTCCCTCCCACTCTCCTTCCCTTTCTCCTTCCATTCCCTCCCCCTCGGCCCCACCTCTCAGATTCTATTTTCTCTTCAGTATTATTTTGTTTTGCTCGGTCCCAAATGCAGACCTCGAGACGCCCTGCGGAGTTGAGCCTCCCTGCACTACACACGCCAGGGGGAAGGGATGCCTGCTGTATGGGGAAGGGGGGAGGGGACCACAGCGAAACTCACCAGGTAACTTACAAGGAGGGGTCCCCCGGCACCCGCAGCTCAGCCCAAAAGTTCAAGGAGTTCGCCCGGCCCCCGCACTGCCTCTCCAGTGAGCTCTCCCCGCTCCACCCCCCCGCCCCCCTTCCCCGCCATGCCCATGCCCGTATTCATCTAGGAGACGTTGAGAGAACGCCAGCCGCACTTGGCCATCCTTCCCCGCAGGATTGCGAGCCCGCGGTGGGGGCGCCCGCGAGGAGTCGGGCTGGGCGCAGCTAAAAGCAACAGGCGGCTGGATCTTACCTTGCGCCAGCACGGTGCCAGGCTAGCTGCTCCATCAGAGCGGCGCCTTGGAGAGGAGGTGGAGGAAGAGGGGAGGAGGGCACGCTGAAGGGGGGGCAGGGTACGGGGGAGGGGGGTGTGTGTGGTGCGCTTGTGCGCCTGTGTGTCTGTGGCTGCGTGGACGTGTGTGTGTGTGTGTGTGTGTGTGCAAGAGGTGGGGGGTGGAGGGGTGCGCGCGTGCAATGGCTGTCCGCCAGCCAGGCAGTCCACTGCGCCCAGGCTAGGCAGCTGGGCTTGTGGGGCCGCCGCTCGCCTCTCCTCCCTCCGCCGCCTCGGCCGAGGGCGGGCGGTGCGCGCTAGAACCGCAGGAGCATCTCGGCAGGCTGCGGAGCTGGGAGGCGGCTCCCGGGATCGCTCCTTCCAGCTACCGCCGGCTCCCGGAGCGCGCTCTGCCGCCTCCTCGGTCCTGTCGCTGTAGCTGCTGCTGCTGCTTCTGCTGCCGCTGCTGCTGCTTCTGCTGCCGCTGCTGCTTGCCGCTGCTGCAGAGTCCCGAACCAAAGAGACGACTAGAAGGAGGAGACAAAGACAGAGAGGGTAGCTTTCCTCAAGCTGATGCTCTCCTCTCAATCACTAGCGGGTGCCTCTTCCAACCTGGGGCAGGGATTGAAGGGAGGAGGGGGTTAGGCAGGGCTGAAGAGTCATTCTTGTATTGGCTTGAGTTTTCTACGCCCATTTCCCGGGGGAGGGGGAGCGGGGGATAATGACAAGGTGGTGGACATTCTTTTGGAGAAGAGGGAAGTGCGAAAACTGCCCGAAGCCTATGTGGTCTCTCCCTTCCCTCTTTGAGCCCCCCCCCCGCCCCATTTTCTTTTTTAAAGGAAGAACGCAGTACGTAGCAAAGACCTATGAAGAAGAGTTGGTGGTCCAGTGTTTGCCATCTCCTAATGTGCCTCCAATTCCTCCCTTAGAGAAGGGGGGGGGGCATGGAATGTGCTCACTCTCCACCTTTCCCCCTATGCAGAGGAACTATGGAGATCAGCCTGTTAGAATCATAATCACATTAATAATAACAATAAATATTTATGTAGTGCTTTAAGGTTTGTAAATCGATTTACATGTTAACTAATTCGAAAGAAGAAGAGGGAAAAGGGAGAAATGAGGTGTTGCATGTGAGGGAGAAACGTGTGTTATGGATCCAGTCCAAGTTCTAACCTGGATTGATTCTCCTTTGAGGTTCACCATAGTCCAGCGGCATCTCTAGAGAGCAAAGTTTGGGGTTTGAGTTGGTTGCTTACCTAGCTCACTTACCTGATCATTAATCCCATCCTCTCCTCTGAGATGACCACCTGCTCAAATGAAATGTAGCCTGAGGCTCCACACCTACTCCCATAAAAATGAATTTTCTTTTAAAACTTTAAAGGCAAAGATAAATGATTGGTCACTGTGGTATTGCTATTTCTTATGTTGAATTATAAAGGCTCTGTAGAAAAAACAAACAAACGAAACAACCAACTAGTTTCCTACCTCTAAGGACAAGTAGGTGAGTAGAACTAACATTTGAGGGACCTGGGGGATAGCTTTGATCAATCTGTGGCAAAAAATGATTTCACCTTCTCCAGGAATCCCTTCCCCCAACCTCTAATGCTTCCCTAACTACTAATTTTACCTTGTATACGTTGTTTGCATAGGCTTATACATACACTACTATCTTCCTTGATATAGAATGTCAGGTCCTTGAAGGCAGGGACAATTTTATTGTTGCCTATATCCCCAGCACCTAGTGCAGTGCCTAGCACGTGCTTTTTGATTTATTGGTGTTGGTCCATTCAAAGTCCTTTCATTCTCACTTAACTATCTGACATCAAGTCCAAACTACCTCTGTAGTTTCATAAGGTCTCTTGGGGTTTGTGGGACTTTTTTTCTCTGCTGCTCTCTCCCCCAGTCCTTTTCCTACTATGCTTCAGGTTCAGAGCTACCACAAACAAGAAATGTTGAGAACATATGTAAAACAAGGGCAGTAAATTCAGTAGCCAAGCACCTCCTGCAAAGCCATTCCAGGTGGAGAGGGACCAAAAATCTATCACCTGGTGACCTATGTCAAGCATGCTGCAAGTCTGCCAAGTTTTCCCTTCTTTACAATGAGACTCTCTTCTGGATGAGTCTGTAAGTTCTTTTAGAAATGTTTCACTGCAGAGAGGCAAAGGAGCTGGTGGAATAGTTTAGTGAAAGATGTAAAATCTCCAATTTCCTCGTAGTTTCTGCCTCCTATAAATGGCGGATTTGGCAACCTGTCAAAGATGTTGCAGGGGAGGGATTTGGGCATGGAGTAGAAGCTTGTTGGCTCAAGAGTCAAAGGGCCAGAGTTCAAATGTCCCCTCTGAAACTTACCTATGTGACCTTGGGCAAGCTACTTGACATCTCTTGGTCTCAGTTTCCTCATCTGTAAATGAGAGGATGGGACTACAGGACCTCCAATGTCCCTTCCAGATCAAAGGCTTTGAGGCCTTTTGAGACCTTGAAGCTACTTCCCCACTCTTGGATTCTATGATTTAATGATGGGATTAGGGCTATTGATGTTAGAAAGCACTAGTGTCGGCTGGCTCAGGAAAATTATTCCCCCAATGTGTAATATACATTGGTTGTCAACCATAGCATTAGATACTCTAAATGATTGAGGGGAAGGGGAAAGTGGGTGAGTTTCTCTCTTCCCATCAATCATTCAATCACCAAACATTTATTAAGTGCCTACTACATGCCAAGCAAAATGCTAGGCACCCCTCCAAATCTAGATTAGTTTTGTAGCAACCAGAGGCCAAGGCAACCTCAAAGCCATATGTTAATATGAATAGTTGGGCTCCATTCCCTTCCTGGTGTTCAAATCCAATAAAGAAGGGGAAGAAGGAGGAAACGAGAGCTATATTTGGAACATTTTGATTAGTAGGATCATGAAGGCAGCTTAGCACTGACAGGATCACAGAGGCAAAATGACCTTCACTTAGCAGTGCTCCTCAGGGTCAGAGGTGAAGTCATTTTAATTAAACAGGGAACCTTGTCTGTGTACATTGCATCTGTCCTGTAAATACAGTAGAAGATTTCAATCTCTGGTCCTTTCAATGGTGCTTTTCAAAAGTACTTAAGGAGCAGACTGATATGTTCCTAATTTTTTTTCCCATAAAGCAAATTTCTCTATATTGAATTCTGTTTTCTCGTGAACTTCCATTATAAAATTGGAATTTTGTCCCCCTAGAAAAAAATTAATTAGGCCCAAGCTCAGTTACAAGACCACAGTTTTAAGTTTGGGAGGGACCTTAGACCTTAATCTTCTTCATTTTACAGATAAAGAAGCTGAGGTCCAGAAACATTGAATGACTTGGCCAAAGTAACATAGCAATGCATTGGTTTTTTAATTCATTGTTGGAAGAGCGATGATTTTGTAATAAAATATTAATAATAGCATTCAACATGTCATGAAACATGAATGATACACAACTTGTTATTTTTATAGTTGCCCCTATAGCTTAAAGGAGCTATAAACATGACAGCTTCCCCTGAGCGGGACCCACTGGACCCACATAGAAGTCATTTAAGTGGCCTTACCACTTTCTTCCTTTATTCTAGAGGATACCTTTGGCTATTGAGACCTAATTTCTCAGTAATCTGTGAAGGCTGATGGCTTTTTAGAAATGAGTATGTTGACTCAGGCTGAAGGGATGTTGAAGAGCAGCTGAAGAAATGATGAAAAACGCAGCGGTAAATGAACACATACAGCCAGCACTTACGGGTATCACAGACAGTAAGTGCAGAAAATGGGGAGCCCATGGACTGAATTACCCAACAAATGGGATCTGAAAATCAGGCAAAATCAAACCAATACAGAATCACTTCTCTGGTTTATAATGCTCTAATGCACCCCCCTGGGTACTGTTTCCAATTAATGAAGTGAGCCTGAACCAAAAGCCATCTCTAAATAAAAGGTTAAAAGATGTTCTCTCCTTGTCTGGGCTCAGTCCCACAGCTCCGCCAATCTCATGTGAGCCCGGAAGAGCACCAGGATGCTTCTGCAGCCTTTCTCGGGGGAAAGGAAGGAAGCAGGGAAAGTTGGAATAGTTCTCACAGCTCTCTTACTTCCTACTGAATCGTCAGGATGATTGATGCTAAAATGTTTCTCTTTCTGCAGTAATTATTGAGCAAATTGTCACAATGCTTTAATTTCATTTGTGTGTGAGGAGATATTTTTGTGCTTGGGACAAATATCACAGACCATTTCTGGAGTGGGAAGTTGACAGGGGACACTGTCACATGGCTCATGGGGATACCTGGACACCCAAGAAGCACCTGGGGTGAGGATTAGATGATTAGTATGAGGCAGAGAATAGCAC